ACAATAAACGAATGACCAACGATCGAGAATGCATTGACGACTAATCCAATGATCCAATAAACTATGGAACGAATCCCATGCGAACTAAACATACCAAACTCTAAAACTGATCGACAAAACAACAATTGCCCATCCCAGACTATAGATATCAATCTATAAAACAAGTTGACAAATCCCTCAATAATCGATACTCAACCTAAGCGCCCCAAACGCATTTTGACCTATTCCTCGACGTTCCCGAAAGGAACCATTGGCTACAACGAGCTCTTTGTCCAACAGCTTCTTTCCGTGAAGGCGACTCTTGTGTTCCTGAACATATACATTTGTTGGAAACTTTCTATGTACCCCGTCTTGATCAAATCCTGAACCAAGGTTTCGCATACCCGAACCGCAAAACCCTATGACCCATTCTTCTTTAACCATAACTCGAAGAGATCTCTAATCCTCTAAGCAGAATATCCAGCTCTCCCCCACTTAGGGTTCGAACTACCATCAACTGACATTGCAAACCAACCCATATCTCAAACTAACTCAACTAGGTACAAAACCATCCCTGACTCTTAGAATGTATAACCCACGCAAGATGATCTTCCAGATAAGGACCAAACAAACCCCTAAGAGATTTTGAATCTCAGATGAAGACCTCAGAAATTTCCAATAATAACCACTTCTAACATTAAGAACCCCGCGCAGATGCACAAGCAAAAATTCTGACAGTCCATTCATCTCTTTTGCCACTCCGCTTTGTTGTGGTGTTAGTTGTACAACACGATGCCTCATTGTACCTTCTGTTATGCAAAAGTGGTCAAACAAAGCCTTATAGAACTCCAACCTATTTTCTATTCTAAGTGACCTGACATGGTTCCAGGTCTGTTTCTCAACCATCGTCTTCCACTCCTTGAACTGCCTAAACACTTCATCTTAGTCATTTGTCTTCAGAAAGTACACTCATGTCTTCCTTGAGTTGTAACATCTAGTCTATGGAGGTATATTTTATTTTAATTTAAATTTTGAACTTTTGCGATCGCCATGTCGTGGCGAGGTACTTTTGGTCGAGTGTTAATTTTGACTCGCCACGACGTGGAAAGGAAGGCCACGGCGTGGCCGTCGCTGACGTCTTAAATTCTAAATTTTCGGGTTTGCACCCTATTTAAAGGAATGAGGAGGCTATGGTTTGCTCGCCCTCAGCCTCCACCACCCTCTGTTATCCAGAAGAAAACCCTAACTCCTTTCCTCTATTGTTAAAGCTTTCTTGAGTGCTTTTGAGAGGTCTTGAAGGAAGAATCCAGAAGGAGTAAGCCAAGGATCAGCAAGAGAGTCCCTATCTCCCTTCCTAGCTTAATTATGGACCATTGTAAGTGGTCAAGGTTCAACATTTTTTATTATAGAGTGCTAGATCTTGTATTTTGTCCCGTTTTCTTCTTGATATTGTTAAATGGGATGGTGAGATTTCATAATGGTTGCAACTTTATGAATCTCTAGATCATTTGGAGTAGTTCATGATTTAGATCTAAAGTTTGGTGGGTTGTTTGAGCCATGCATGGGATTTTGGCCATAAACCCCCATTTTGACCTAAGTTGAGTCCAAGACATGCATTGGACATGCATGTCTAAAAAGCACCAATCTTTATGATGGTTTTAGTGTCATAAGCTCTTCTGTAGCAAATGGACTTGAGACTTAAGATATTAAGTGCTTCTTGATTAAGTCCATGTTATAGTTATGCTTAATAGACTATAGACTTGAGATCTAGACCTCTTCGTGGATCTCAAAGGATAAAGCTGGAAACTTTATCCATTTAGACCATAATAATGATCAAATCTGGACCTTAGAACCTGTGGGATTGAAGGATTCACCTTAACCCATTAAGACACTTTGAATCCAGTGCCCACGACATGGCGACTGGGGAAAACGTGTCTGTTTTTTCGTTTAAAGGCCACGATGTGGATGGTCAACCTTTATCGTTGACTTTGACTTTTGACTTGCGTTGACTTTTGGTCAAACCCTTAGTTTTGGAAGGGAAGCTAAGGTTGTACTTTGTATGGTTGTATAGGTGGTTTGTAGCATCTATATTCGCAGCAGTAGGAGCGATAGCAGTTGATCATCGTTTGTTAGGTGCGTCTCTTCACTATACTCATGGGTCCAAGGCACCAATGACGCCCTACTGGATTATGTTTGTAGGATGATAGTTTTCTTTGTGACACTTGTTGATATGCTTGTATGTGCTTGTTTTCTTTGTGACTCTTGCTGATATGATTATATGCTTAGTTGTAGGGGTGAAATAGACCCAATACCGGTTGAAAGATACTTAAATGGGGTGAAATAGACCCAAAATTGGTTGAAAAATACCGAAGGGGGTAAAATATACCCAATACCAGTTGAAAGATACCAAAGGGGGTGAAACAGACCCAGTTATAGTTTCAAGTTGTTATTTATGTTTGGTATGGGGTATTTAAGGGTGAAACTCACTAAGCTTGGTGCCTACAGCTTTATGTTTATGGTTTCATGTACTTCCAGGTCGAAAGGGAAGGGCCCGACATAATCGCACCACATCCACCAGCATTCCGCATTTTATGACATGATTTGTACTCTGATAACTATTTTATACATTATCACAATTTGATGGATTTGAAATGAATGAATGATGTTTCTGTTGGTTTTAAAATGAAATTTTTACATAGTAATTTTTGGGACGTTACAAGTTGGAATCAGAGCCTTGGTTTGATAGATTTGGGCACACTCTCGGGTGTATTTGAACTTAAACTGAGGAATTGGTAATCTTTTTTGAAAGAAAATGGATTTTCTAAATAGATTTTTATAAAAAAAGATGTGTGATGTGTGCAATCGGCCGAACTCAAATAAGTATTTCCCAAAATACCATTACATGTTTATAGTTTCAATATATGTATATGTGTATAGCATGCTAGATTAGGGATAAGGATCTGCTCGTAATTACATGGGAGGATGATAAGAGAGATGTGTTGTATGCCGGTTGTATGTGCCTTTAGAATTACATGCTAGTATATATTTCAGATGAATAGATAAGATGGCCTAAGTTGAGATCTAGACTTGTAGTGGGCATACATGTCTGAAAAGCACTGATCTTTGCAGTGTATTAGTCCTTAGGAAGGATTCTGGAATGTTGGAAGGAAAAGGCTTAACAGATCAAGAGCTAAATTTGTTAAGCTGTTGGAACCCAGTTCCCATGACGTGGTGTTTGGGTGCCACGATGTGGCAACTGGGGAAGCCCGACTATTTTTTTGTGGAATGCCCACGATGTGGCACAAAGAGGCCACGACGTGGTGACCTGTCCAGCTGTCATGGACTATTGACTTCTTGACCAAGTTTGACTTTTGGTCAACTATGAGGGTATGGTTTTGATGAGGGGAAAAATGGTCTTTTGCCAAATTCTGGAGTAGACTCAGTTTTGGACTAGTTGAGTTGGGATAATTACATAAATTTCTAATTAAGGTTAATTGGTGCAATTAATAGGCATAGTCTAGTTCCGACAGTTCAGGTGTGAGTTTCATCAGTCTTCCGTGCGAGGTAAGTATTATCACTATACTTGTCTGTGTGGTAGTATATACATGTTGAACAGTTGGGTCTTATTTGTTGTTACTGTGATATGTGATATTGTGTGTGCTAAGACTTTAGGTAGTCTCCAGGGTTATTGATAACCCACAGGACGTGATGTTTACCCATCGAGACTTCGAGTGGTCTCCAGGGTTGCAGATAACCCACAGGTCGTGTTGTTTGCCCACTGAGACTTCGGGTAGTCTCCAGGGTTGCTGATAACCCATAGCTGTTTATTTGTGTTGTGTTGTATGTGGTATTTTGGGAAACTCACTAAATTTTGTGCTTACAGTTTGTGGTTTAAATATATCAGGATTTCTTATATTAAAGAAGGGGCACGACTCGATTACATTGCATCCATGAGAGATTTGTGCACATGATAATGTTTTGAATTAAATGGTTTTATCGAAGTTTTTCATAGGTGTGGATTGAATAAACACTTAATTTTTTCTTTTAGATGAAAATTTTGGTCTGAAGATTGGGATGCTACATGATCGACTGAGGGCCCAGTATGTCACGTTTTGTGAGTTTCATGCTTGTAGGGCTCCCTCGTTTATGGAACAAGGAGCCCATCATCGTAAGTCAATAACCATTCTTGTCTGGAAACGTTTTTAGAGTTCAAAAAGCATTCTCAAACACCCCATATACTATAAATGTAAAAAAAATATTACAAGAACATCCAATATAATATAACAGCTTATTGAAGAGTTTTTTTTCGATCAAAAAACTATTATTACCTTTTTTTTCACCACGTAATTTTTCTAATTTTCTTGAATATTTACCAGCTCTCAACATGTATAGATTTGTTATAAGTCTAACACCCTGTTCTCGAGTTTATTTAAGGACCAGAATGAAAAGAATGAAAAGGTTTGGAAGTAAATCACAAGGATAATGTGTTCTTCTGTTTTTTTAAGAGATGGAAGATGATGGAATGAAAATGATGGGGAAACAAAATATATGCCTTTTTCATCCTTCATTTTTGGAAGGGTTAGGAGAGGAAGTCCAAAAATAATGAAATACTTCCATTCCATTTCATTTCACTCTAACTCAAAAATTGTTAGAATCATTTGGATTTTCCTTTCATTGTCTTCCATTCCATTCTCCTTTCTTTCGTTTCCATCTTTTACATTTATTAAAAAAAACTCGAGAACAAAAGCGTAACTGTGTAAATGTCTAATAATAGGATTCATATATAAGTTTTGTAAAAACACTTAAAGGTTAAAAGTTGTTTGTTGAGTAAATACGAGAGACGTATAAACTTCACGAAAGAGATTGTGTGTTGTGGATGCTGTAAATGTAGCCTCTACATGGAAATTGCTAATTTAAAAAGTTACAAGGAAGCCGAAAATTTTGATTTACTAGAAAGGAATTATTGGAAGGTTAATAAGCCGTACATTGTCTGCCACGTCTATCGGTTACAAACTCCAACACAATACCACATGGATCTCACCTGTCATTTTTCGTTTTATATATACCACCAGTCCTATACACACACACCCCCCTAGGCCCCTATCTCTATTCTACAACAACACTTGTACGCCCATCACTGATCCTCACGTCTAGACAACAGCATATCCTCCACAGAAACACGACGGAGCTTAACCACTTACAACGGAATTAGTAGGTAAACAATTTTCAATTCGTTGATTTGAAAGTTACTGCGTTTCGATTGTGCGAATTAATCGATTGATCGGTTTATCTGTTGAAGAATTTGTAGCGAGGAAAAATCATGTCGCAATTGCAATCGCAATCACACTGCTGCACGCAGTGTGGTTCCAATGGCCATGACTCTCGTTCTTGTTTAACGGCTGCAGATGATTCGTCTTCCGACGTCTCTGGCATCGGCGCCGGGGAGATCATGTTGTTTGGCGTGAGAGTGAAGGTTGATCCGATGAGGAAAAGTGTGAGTATGAATAATCTCTCGCAGTATGAACACCCTGCCACTCGAGAATCGTCTAATAATAACATCGATGTCTCCGCCACCGTCGCTGTTGCTGCTGACACCGGCTACGCCTCCGCCGACGATGCCGTTCGCAACCAGTCTAACGGTAGCAGGGAGCGCAAACGAGGTTAGATCTCACGTTATCCATAACATCTCTATCTCTTATCCTGTTTATTCAAAAAGATCAGTTTTGTCCATGTACTCGTATTTCGTCGCGGCGTTGATATTTTTCCTCGTTTTTTTTAAATCAAAATCGATTGCTGCGTTTTTGTCAATTTTCAACGTGATTACGATTGGAACAGAGGATGAAAGAAGAATACGATCGTACCTGTTTTTAGCTAGTTTTATTGTTTGCCAATTCCTTTGCAATCAGATTTTCTCTGACGAATTTATTATGTCAAACCACTAATTATTTCGATACTGTTTTTCTACAGGAGTTCCATGGACCGAGGATGAACACAAGCTGTTCCTCCTAGGGCTGCAGAAAGTCGGCAAAGGAGACTGGAGAGGAATCTCAAGGAATTTCGTCAAGACTCGTACCCCAACACAAGTTGCCAGCCATGCTCAGAAATACTTCCTTCGCCGGAGCAACCTCAATCGCCGCCGCCGTAGATCTAGCCTATTTGACATCACTACAGATTCGGTGAGTTTCAACAAACTTAAATCAATACTCATCACAAACCATTCCTGAATCAACAGCAAGTAACACTTTCCTGGGTGATCATTAGGTTGCTGTTATGCAAACAGAAGAACAACAAGTTCATGACGTCGAGAAAACTCAAGCGGTTGTGCAACCATCCATACCATCTTCAACCTTTCCGGTGACTGTATCTCCAGTACACTTTGAGAATCAAGTCAACAACGGATCAATGCTACTCATTCGCTCAATCCCTGTCTTCCCAACTCCGAATCCATCAACAATGGTGGATCTTAATCTAAATCAGAAATACGAAACCAGTCCATTACCAGTATCTTTAAATCTTTCCCTATCATTCGACCATAACCATAATCAGTCATCTTATCAAGTGATCTCAGGGTTCAACACGGGAGATGGCATGATCAGTGTTGCTTGAACAATGAACATCATCTCATCTGAAAGAGAAGGAAAAATAATAATAATAATAATAATAATAATAATAATAATAATAGAGAGTGTCAATCACGTAATTAGTTATTAACTTATATAGTTAATTAATCTCTGTTTTATTTTTATCATGTTGTTGTATGGTCACGTCTCTCATA